ATATATATATATATATATATATATATATATATATATGATGTTGTATACGTACGTATGTGTGTATGTGTGTGGTATATGTGCATGTGTGCATGTATATGTGTGTATATAAGTGTGTATGTATATGTGTGCATGTGCGTGTTAATAGTGTGTGTGTGCACGTGGGTATCTATGTAGTGTTTGATGTGTGTATGTGCATGTATATGTGTGCAAGTGTGCATGTATATGTGTGTATGTATATGTGTGCATGTGCGTGTTTACGTGTGTATGTGTGCATGTGTGTATGTACGTAGTGTATGACGTATGTATGTGCAAGTATATGTGTGTAAGCGTGTATGTATGTGTATGTATATGTGTGTATGTGTATATGTGTGCATATACGAGTCCATATGTGTATGTGTGTATTTTGCATGTGCGTGTGTATATGTGTGCATGTATATGTGCATGTGTGTATGTGTGTATGTGTGCGTGTGTGTCTCTATGTGTATGCAAGTATGTGTGTATGCGTGTCTGCATGTAATGTATGTGTGCGTATCTGTGCATGCATGTATGTGTGTGTACATGTGTATATGTGTGTATGTGTGCATGTACGTGTGTATGTGTGTATATGATATGTATATGTGTGTGTCTGTGTGTGCTGAAAACACCCAAATTAGGTCTACTCACCTGATCAACAGATGTTTTCTCTTCAAACACGGCATCTGGCATCGTTTTTGGTATTTCGGCGGCAGGCTTCTCGTGTGGGCTAACACGCTGGCCGCCAAATTTTCCTGAGCCCATTTGAAACATACCCAATTGTTGCTTAGAAAGTTTTTTCCCAGTTTCCTCGTCGTATGTGGTGACTATAATCCAAGAGATTGATGATAGACCACTTATAACCATGTTTCAGCTCTTAGAAGAACCCATATTACTTTTTGCTGATTTCTGAACTAAAATTTTTGGCTTTACAAACTAAAAGCCTTTTAGGCTTGGTAAAAGTATGAGAAGAAGGTTTAAGAAAGAAGTATGACCTATTCTTATAATTATACACTTTGGAAGTTTTATTTATTTAGTGAAAAGAGCTTAGTCTAATATATAGCACTGTACTAGAATCGAAATTTGCAACTGTTCGATAAAACGAAATTCTCAACTTAGAGGGTAGACCTGTCCATTGCCTCGTACAGACCTTGCAGGCCCCTGAAAAAGTATTAAACTGGTAGATTAAGTGACTTTCTCTGTTGGAAAAAAGAGCAGGCAAGTCTACGGGATCTGCGCCTTACAAAAGCTTAATCACCCCACTGTGATATATTCTCATGAACAGGTAAGCACACTCACAGTTTGCATAAAGTTTTTTTTAAACATAAGCAAATGTAGGAACAGAAAGGTGCCATAAAGTCGGAATTGCATACTGTTTGGATGCTGTATTGGTAGGGCCGCATAAGGATTTGCACAACGCCAGCGATTGGAAAAATCAAAAATGCTTCTCAATAAATCAAGAATCCTACCGTATACAATTACCATGAATTGCTCTTGTGGTGAAAATCTCGCTTTAGAATACACATTAGACGTAGTTGATAATATTATAAAGAAGCTTACCTTCTGTCAAAATCAGTGCTCCTGAGCCCTTATCTAATACATCTACCACTCGAGCTTCAGAGCGAAGTTTGGCTTCCGATGGTAGGGGTTCGTACAATTCAATGTACTGTTCACCATGTAGAATCTTTGATAGATCAAATTTAATTCCTGAAGTTGCCAAGTATACAGGTATCGTTATATCACATGTATCAGAATGCTCACAATCCACTTTTTACCTGGCCAACCAAAAATGCTACCAGCCGCCAAGCCTGGAGCCACAATGAATGTTGGAAGCGGTAGAAAATCCTCCGCCATCTCATAGACATATCGTAGATCTGTTTTGGCGTGTGCACCAACTAAATCCTTTTAATTTCACACTAACATTGTAATTATTGCGGTGCAAACCCAGGAAATGAAATTTACCCTCCGAAACGGTCAACATACTTAATTAAGTAAATGGTTTTATCGTTTTGCTGGAATTTACGACATGACAATCCTTACCCCCAAGCGCATAGATTATAGCGTCTCTTGAAGTGTATTGATAGTAGTCGGCTGGGGGGATGTGAGATTTAGCCACGACTGGATCCATTTCTGAAATTTTATAGTTCTGAAAGGTTGTAAAAGGTGTGTTCTGCACCGCAAAGCTTTTGGGGCAAGAAGTAACTGTGAGCGAGGTTTACTGATAAATATAATATATGCCAACTGCAACTCCAAGTTAAACTAAGATATTTTTTATCCACTACTGTTAAATTGTTGAAAAAATGTCATGGAACTGCCCTGGCTACCAAAAAAAATCTGAACATGTTTCTTTAAGGAAAACTTTTCGAATTACATCCAAACAATGTCAAGTGATTTATTCAGTAGCTGCATAAAGGTCTTAAAGCAAAAGGTCTTTTGCTTTAAGACCTTTATGCAATTGGAAGGGGGTTTTCAAATTAGTTCAGATCTCACAATCATTAGTGCAATTCTCACAATTAGAAAATTATTGGTTTGGTAATTATTTTAGCAGCGATAATAAAGACACCAGCTTCGAACTTTCTGAGGAAAAAATGAAGACTTTTCGCGGAAAAATTACAATGAACAAGAAGTACTGGAAATTTTTCCCTTATTCGACAAGGTGCAATGGAGTACAGACGCTCAAAGCAGCATCTCTCAATTGAAGACGGTTTATCAGCAATGGAGCAGTTGATGGCTAATAAGTTGATAGAAAATCCTAATAAACATGCTTCATTGCTAACAAACTGCTCGCATTGAGGAAATACCGGGAATACTCCTGTATGAACCATACTCTTGATGTGTTGGTACGCTAGAGGTAATGAAACCAAATGGATGCTCTTTTGAAAAAAAAGGCCACCCCGTTGCTACACACTTTGGAAAATAAGATTTTCGTCAAACAAAAGCTTATATATGATTCACGCAAGCAGTAGAATGGAATGCGCATGACGTCCTTTCGCACTGGGTACTGTTTTCACTTTCTTTCTTTATTCCGCTAATTCAGGCAGATTCAATGATAATTTGCCTAAACATGGAGACTTCTCATAA